GCAGGGGCAGAGCGCTCCGGTGGGGATGAAGGCCGAGGGCTTCGTGGACGCTCTGCACCGGGTCCGGCAGGTACGGGCGCGGCCGGCTGGCGGGAGCACGAGTGCCCGAGGCGGGGCCGGGCCGGGCCTGCTGGGGAGGAGGGGGTTGGGCCTGGGGGCGGGAGGCGGCCGGGTTGACGTCTCGGTCAGGCTTGGAGGTGCCTTGGGGGCGCCTGCACCCTGGAGAAGCCGAAGGATGAGGCGCCACCGCGAGGCCCAGGCCCAGGCTGTCGTGCGGGTGTCCCAGGTGCTTGCAGCCGCCGGGGAAGCTTCTGCCCAAGACGCCTGCCCCATCGCCCCCGCGCCGGGGCTGGCCCCGCAGGGGAGCCGGCCGGTGCTTCCCGAGGAGAGCTCACGGGGAGGACCCGGGTGCACCCAGGAGGAGGCAGTCTCAGGTTCAGTAGCTTCCTAAAACTTGGAGTACATTATTTGCGGGCTGTCCGTATATCCAGGGTGGAATGGAAGGAATTCGAGGTTATTTTACTTTGGAGAAGGGAGAGAGGGAGATGTTCAACGGCGGTGGGTGGTTCACAAGAAGTAGGAATTCCTTATGGGCAATAGTTTTTCCACCCTCTCCGAGGCTGTGATATGGACTCAGTCCGGCCATGAAACTACCATCTGACAACGTTGTGCACTTTGTCAGAGTTACACAGTTTTCCAAGGTAGTAAACTTCCTGGAGAATGAGTATGGGACCTGCCAGAAATAGTCTTTGGCTTCTGGCATGGTGCTTAGAACAGAAGGTATCCTTGCGTTTAGAACAAGCTAGGTCTAACACTTACACATCTGCTGAGAGTCTTATATTCATCATCTCTTCCTATTTAATTGTAGGCATACTTATTACTGGCGTGATAAAATTTGGGCTATAACTAATTACTGCTTGATTCCTAACAGAAAGCCACAGGACTCAGTGTATTAGAAGAAGGTCTCCACTCGGGCGCTCGAAGATGTGGTCTTTACATCTCTTTCCAGTATCCAGGGGCGGGAATCCTGCGTGTTTCTCAGATCCTGACTTTTCGTTTAACACTGATGTTCCTGTAGACAGTATATTGGATCCCAAAACTTTCCAAACCTGTGGTTCCACCTAAAATTCTCTCTGATGACTTGTTCCTTACTGCCTAGGCGCCAACCAGCCCAGTAGAGTATCCATCTTACTTAGTCTTCAGAGCCAGCCAGTGGCTGTAATGAATGAACACACCATCCAGCTCCCCTCATCACTCCTTGCCGGCGTGTTGCGCTGCTCTCCTCTACAGCACAGGGTCCTGAACCTTGTTTCTCACTGGCTACTAGTAGGTAATGGCTTTCGCTCTGGGCTGATGAGAGACAACCACCTTGTTGGCCTTCTGTGTCCAGGAAGAATTATAGTCACTAAGAGCTCAGCTCCTCAGTTTGCAGAAGGCCTGTAGTTGAACATAAAATGAATTTTGAACCATTGAGAAGACTCTGCTTCTCTTGAGCCAGTGGTTGAACTCATATGCTTGGACAACCTACTCGAGAGGGAGTGAGACCCTCTGTAAAATGCTGACCCAGTGTGGATTGTTGAAGCAGTGGTGCTTGCTGCTAGCAGAGAAAACGTCACTGGGAATGTGCGCCATTGACTGGAACGGCGTTAAGCCCAAGGAGACAGTGCTGTCAGTGTCGCTTCTGAGATTTGCAACTGGAGGTCGATACTGTCTCCCAGGATTCGGTGGCCTTTAAAAACTAAAGGAAAAACCAGGTTTGTGGGTAATTTTAGGTTTACGTGTAGATTTGCACTGGGCAAGAATGGGGTGTTAGAAACCTGAAATACTGTGTGCTGGTAGTCCAGCTTACCCAGAGGGCCTTGCAGCGCTTGGATAACGGGGCTCTCCTTCTCCATTGCATACACAGCATGTCCAGAGATGTGACTCCCTCCATCTTCAGTTCCTGGGAATAAAAGCCAATGTATTTATTTAAATCACAGCCAAGCTTTCTCCCTTTTTATGTGTCCTCACCGCCAGTGACGGTCTGTAAGACCCTCAGAGGTTTGTCAGGGAGCCAGGAAACTGTCTGGGGCTCCCTTTTTCTAGATTATTGCAATAGTGCCTGAGGTGACCCTGCTGGGATTTGAACCTGCAGTTCCTATTAAGTCTGGTATGTGGGATATAGCACCTAATTCACCAGCACCTTGAAACCTCCTTGTATATCTTCTGGACCCTTTTCAACAAAGGAAGCCAATTGTTGATGTCAGTTCACTCAACGGTATTCTTAGAGGGCCTCTGGAGATTAAAACATTTAAGTTTGTCCCCCAGCAGTGTGACATTCAGTGAGTTCATTGTTTTTTGGTACAAACAGGTAACTTACATCCATTCTTTTGGGAAGTACACAGTATAGAATTATAATCTGATCGCCCCATTAGTGAGGATCTAAAACTTCTGGGCTTAAAGAACAAGCACCACCGTGCATGTCCAATTATCTCAAACCCTTGACTGGCTAGCAAAAATAAAAGTATTTCAACTGGTTGCTTAGAATGGGCAGGGCCCTAGCAAGGACATGATCCTACCAGGTAGGCTGACCTGGCCCACGGCCTTCCTGCCTGCCACCGTGATGGCCACGCGGGGACCTCGTGGAGGTAGGGGTGGGTAGATGCCACTTCCGCTTTGGTCCTAAACATGTAAAGATGTTCCCGGGAAGCGCTGCTGATGGCTCAGTAGTGCCCATCAGCAAAGGCGGGCTCTTGTGTGCTCGCAGGCTGGAGTCACACCACCGAGCCTGGCTGCCCGGCAGCCCCCACCCGTCATCCCCCAACAGAAGAGTCTCTCGCTAATGTCTTTCAGACATTAAACTCCCTTTGGTCTAGCCCCATTTGGCCTCTGTTGTCACTGTGGGCTCCGCGACAGACGCAGCCTCTGCTCACTCAGCGTCCTGTGTTTCTGACTGGTGACGTCACCGGCTGAGCCTACACACCTGTGTGCGCAGATGCACGCCTCACACGCGGCTGAGACGCCGTGTCAGGCCTCCGGGTGACTTGGGCTCCATGTGCTTTCATGTGAACCTTCTCACAGTGGGACAAGACCAGTGTTTGCAGGAAGCGTGGCTGCTCCAAACCTTTGCTTACACAAGGCCCAGGAGAGCAGCCTGCAGAGAGTGAGTCTTGGCCGTGAGGGTCAGCCACAGTTGTGGGTGCCCTGAACCTCACGTTTGGTATTCAGAGGGAACGTTAAGGAATGGGACACCCCACCGATGCCTCTGAGGTGTTTCTCACTTTTCAAGCTGAAGCCCCCTTTCATCTAAAGATCGATGGCGCATAGGTGTCGTCAGACTTTCCTCGGAAGTCTGTATTTCGTATTTGCGAGTTGGCCAGAGGTGGCAAGCTGGTGGCCCGCGAGCTGGAGGAGGCGCGGCAGGGCCCCAGGAGTGTTCTGGCCGTGGCGGCCGACACTGAGGGCTTGAAGGGTTTCAAGTGGAAGTTGAGATTTGTCGTTCTCCTAGAGAAGCTCGGCCACGTGCTCCCGCATGCTGCAGGGCCGAGGGGTGGCTGCCCTGCGGTGGCCTTCGTTCCCGCCGTCTGACGGCCCGAGCGGGCATCGCGCTCACTTTGTTCCCTGACCCTATCCGGATGTGCGTCTGTCGGCGCCGGCGCTTGCTTGGGATGTCTAGTGGAAGCTCGCTGGACGGAGAGGCAGGCCTGAGTCTGCTGCGGGGACTGCGGGACCAGGCCGGCCTCCGGGCTGTCGGGACGGTCCGTGGGGAGGGCTCCTGCAGAGGAGTTTGGGGGAGCAGGAGCTAAAGGGGGCTTGGCGGCTTTGTTGCGGTGTTTCTCGGAGCCTTTCAGAGCGCACGTGCGCTGACCCCTTCAGCCGTTTTGGGACACGTGTTGTGTCACTTCATGGCCTCTCTTTACAGAATCAGACATTTTGGGGGTCAAACCAGGAAATGCTGAGCTAGAGAGTCCCGGCAGCTGCTTCGGGCCTGCCGACTCGGCTTCCATCTCGCTGGGTCTCAGTTTCTGACCGTGGGTTTGTTCTCTGACACGTTGCATGCGGGCTGTGTGGTCACCCCTCTTCCCTGCTTTCCCCGGCAGTTCTTTTATTCTAAGAGTCGCCCCTCTTAAAAATGGGTTGCATCTGAGGGCTTATTAGATAAAGACACTTGGAAGGCACAGGCATGAGCTACATGTTCCCCCTCGTGCCGGACGCAGCAAGTCCCTTGCAGGACTGCGGGGGCTGCCTTGTGGCCCAGGTCGCCCACCTTTATTCAAGATGCGCTAAGCCGGGCACCCAGTGCGGGGCTAAGGAAGGCGGGTTTGGAGCTGCTTGCGCGTGCTGTGGAGACAGCCTCGCAGCAGCCAGGTGAGACAGGTTCTGGTTCTCGGATTTGAACGTAATGAGCCGAAGTCTCTAAGGCAGTCGTGACCGAGGCAGTTAGGGCACGCAGTGGCTCCTTCAGGGGACGTGGCTCCCGTGCGGCGGAGACGCTTCCCGGCCCGGTGACGCGTGTGCGCAGCACCTTTGATAAACAGCGAAGGGGGGTGCTGGTGGCATTAGCTGGAACATGGAAAGGAAGCTGCAGACGCGTCACTTGAGGCCTTTGGAGCGGCCAGCCCGGCTGGAGTGCTCTTCCGGCTGAACGCCTCACCTGGTAGCCTCGGGCTGCTGCCTGCGGGCGCCCCTGTGCCCAGCCCTGGGCCACACCAGGCGGCTGCCCTGTAAGTTGTCTGCAACGTGGACCCATGAGACTCTTACAAACTTTGAACCTCCGAAATATTTAAGTATTTTGTATGTCATTCAGAAGGTTCAGGAGCCCTCTAAAGCCACACGCCACACACAGCGCCCCTACTTAAGGAACCTCACCCTCGGGGTACCGAGATGGTCAAAGCCCGCCTCTTCAGAGAGTGCCCAGCAGCGCGGACAGTGCAGTCGCTGGGTTCGTGGTGACGTTTCGCCAAAGGTAGACTTTAGGGTATGCTGCAAACGCAGATGTGGGGTGTTCCCTGCAGGTGTGGGTGGGGAAGTTGTGAGCAAGGGCTCTTACGAGGAGCTGGCACTCGACTGTCACCTCAGAGCCATGGCTTTGGGCAGGGCCAGTCAGGAGGGCTGCTCGGCCGGGGCCCATCTCTGAAGGCGGCAAAGCTCACTGAGCCGAGCTGTGTGGGTCCGGGCAAGGACTCGAGGTGCCCCTCACCTGCTGGTCATACAGTCCCGAGGAGGGTGAAGTGAAGTGGCCACTAAGGAGGCTGGGTTCAGGCCGAGCACAGGCTCTGGTTCTGCTGTTGTGGCGCGTGGCCTCGGGCAGCCCCGCAGGCTCCAGGAGCCCCGACCCCGTCTGCAGATGGCGGTCAGTGGTGGTGGCATTCCCGCTCAGAAAAATTAAATCTGACTTCAAACATGAGAGTTTGGGGGGTGGCCCCTGGGAGCTGGGGCGGGGATAGTGCTGAGCGGGGCGTGAGACAGGCTCTGGGGTCTGGGAATGTTCTGTTTCTTGCTCCGGAGAGGAGCACGGAACTTCGTTGTACCAGAGAACCCAGCTACAGCCTACGGCCCTGGCTTCTCTGTAGCTCACTCAGTAATCATGCTGAAAGCAAACACTTGTCCCTGTGCCCAGCATCACTCCAAGCCTCTCACTGTTAGCACCTCAGTCCCGTGGCTACAGTTGGGGCAGGCGAGTTCCAAACCCCGAGGTAGCATGGTGAGCCCTGCGAAGAGGAGGGGCCCCCCACCCCGGGCTCTCAGCAGGTGTGCTGCGTTCTGGTCCGGCTCTGTGCGTGGTGACATCCTGGCCCGGGCCTCGGCCCAGTGGCCCAGTACAAGCCCTGGGCTGCCTGGCTGCAGACCCCCACCTCAGACTTGCATCGGCTAATGCTTCCTGCCGAGGGGACAGACTTCGGCCCAGCCCTGTGCTCTCCGGCCCATCCAGGTGACCGTAGAGCAGAGGGCCCAAGCAAGGTGGGTCCTGAGTTGGTGGCACCTGCTGGACCCGGGCAGCGCAGGTGTTCAGGTGCAGCCCACAGCGAGGGTGACTCACTGGCACCCAGTGGTGCTGCCTCCTTCTGGTCACTGTAAAGTTCTAGTAAGTGCCAAGCTGCTGGAGACACCCACAGCTCCCTACTTGGGCCACAAAACCTGTGGTCCGGGAGCTGCAGTCCCGAGAGTGCGCCGGGGAGACTGGTGTGCCCGCAGCCGGCTGCTCGGTGGCGTGGCACCATGCGGTGTTTCCCTCAGCCAGCGTCAGTATTTTGTTGATTTAGTATCTCAAAACCACTTTAAATTTAGACTTATTTAAATAGTTTCAAAGGGAACTTGTTGTCCCAAGTGAAAAACTGTTGTCACAGGCGGTACTGGGGGCTGGGTAGCGGATGGGTAGCTTAAAGCATCCTTGCGTCCCCAGAATTACCTTGTTTACTTCCTCCTGGAAAACAGTGCGCTCCTGGTCCCTGCATTGTGCTGTGCATACCCCAAGGAGCCAGTCGTCAGGCGGAGCCCGAGCTCTGCCCTGGGAGCACTGGCCGGAAGTGCATGCCTTTGCAGGCCCCCACGCCTCCCTGTCCTCTGCAGCCTTGCGAGTGCTTCCTGGCAGTGGGGGCCGTGTGTCTCTGATTAATATTTCAATATCACTGTGCTGGAAATAGTAGTGAGATAGCCGGTTCTCCCTTTTGCCTCCTCCCAAGGAGGGGTGGTGACTCCGGATGGAAAACAGGTAGCAGAGTCCCCTCTAGGTCACACTTCAGATAGGTGAAGGGCCCTGGCTCAGTGACTCGATGGCCACACCCTTCCCTGCGGGCCCCCAGGCTCAGCTCTGGGAGGGAGGCGTTGCAGTGTCTGAGCGTTGGAGGGAGGAGGGGGACACACCCCTGGTCCTGGGCTGAGGCAGTTTCTGTCCCTTACAAAGTGTGGCTTCAGAGCGGCCACTCAGTGTCTCTGAGCTGATGTTAAAATAGAAATAATAACCACCAGCCTGAGGGAGAAGGGGCAGGTAGGGGCAGGGGCCGCAGAGGTGGGCCCCCAGTGCTCTGGTGGTGGGGACGACACGGAGGGGATACCCCAATGCCCAGAAATGAACAGCGATGTTAGAAGATAAATTATTTTTTTAAGCGTATTCATGTCAAAGAAATGCATGTACGGTTTCACTGGCTGGCCTCGGGTATTTGCTCACACAGGTGTTTTTTGCATCTTTGGGATCAGTCGCAGCCCCATTAATTTTTAAGCCATAGGTCATAAAGCAAAGCGTATGAGTAGCCTGGAAAGGAAAGAGTTTGGGTGCCAGGCATCAGCCGTCAGCGCACAGTGTTAGTTGAGTCCAGTCTCCTCGGGGGTCACCCTGCGGGCACGTGCGCTAGTGCCTTTGACGTGCCCTTGACAGAGGGCCTCGCACCTCGTCAGCAGTTAGTAAGATGTTAATTTTCATTGTTTTGGTCCTTGCTTAAAGATCACGTCTTGGAGCAGAGGGAGGACGCTGCTCCTCCACGGTGTCTCGTAGAGGCAGGTGCAGCCTCTCATCAGCGGGCTCGCGCACGCGCTCGGCCCTGGCGGGGACACAGGCCGGCCGGCTCGGAAGCGGGGTCCTGGCTCCAGGGCTGTTCCTCTGAACTGTTCTTCCACACTGCTGCTTTCTCAGTGCGAATTTCCCAAATTACAGATAACTTTCAGACTTAAAAACAGATCTGAAAGCCCTAGTTGCTTATTGGTTTAATCAGATTAGGAGCAGGAACTGTTGCACACTTCCAGCAGTCGGACTCTGGAGAAGGACGTCCCCGCGACATGCACCACGGTGGCGGGCCGAGCCTGGGACTCCTGTGGGAAGACAGAGAGGTCTGGAAGCCAAAGGGCAGCATGAGGAGGGCGTGGCCAGGGTCTGGCAGGTAGAGCTGTGGGGGTCCTGCCTTTGAGAGATTTGCCCCACACTGCAGGGGCTTCACTGATACACACAAACCCCTGAACCTCATTCTTGAGGGGGTTTGTCTTCACTGGCTTCTGGGAACCTTTTGGTCCAACTTTGGAAAACAACGGGCCTAGAGTCACCTTGCAGTCCTCACTAGCATTTTTTTTTTTTTAAGATTTATTTTATTTATACAGAGCTGGGGTACAGCCAGAGGTGTGGGGGAAGTGAGAGGCTTCACCAGAGACAGGGTGGGGAGCAGCACAGATCAACAAAGTCTACTACTGACAGGAGCTGCGGGCGGTCAGGAGAGGTCTGCCAAGCCATGTGGGTTGCCTCCGGGGCGGGCATCAAACTGGCACTGAAGCAGCTGCAGCTCGCTTACAGTGCCGCATCCTAACCTGCTGCGCCACCAGGGAGGGCCCCTCGCTAGCCTCTTTGCCCAGTTTACTGTGGCAGAGGAGAGGGCCCCGCAGAACGCAGAAGCCTTTAACCCTTCACAGCGGAGCCTTTCCAGGTGACTCTGGCCTGAAGTCAGAGGCCGACCCCGCAGCACGGGGGGAGAGCGAGTGTGGGGGTCAGCGCAGGCGGCTGTAGGGCCGCGTTTGCGCGGTGTTTTGTGTTAGAGGAGGCCGCTCGCTCCGACGTGGCCATGAGAGGGGCACCTATCCGCAGCCTGCCTTGGTACTTTAATGATCGAATGTTGTAAGCCAGCACTCCCACAGGTTGCCATCATCTCTGGCCTGGACAGGAAGTAGCAAGCTCTGAAGCTCCAGCTGGCACGCATGCCAGCTCCACGCACCTGCTCAAGGAGGCAGGGTGTGGCTGTGTCGCACCACAGTTCCATTCTCAAGAGCAGGTACTCTCCGGCTGAGGCTTTCTGACCCCTGGCGTAAAGTCCCTAAGTGGCCTCCTGCTCTCGTCCCCTTAAAGTCCATTTTCCTTGTCAGGCGGATCCCTCGCTAATCGGCCTGTCAGTCCCCCTTGCTAAGACTTGTAGTTGCTTCCCATCAACCTCCTATAAAATCCTGGGCCCCGCATAGCCCACCTGCGCCTCCCCGCCTTTGGCGCCCACGGGCCTTCCTACCCCGCGGCGTCCGCATCTGTCCTCCAGGCTCGTGCCCGGCAAGCTTGCTTGGCTCGGCCTCGGCGTGCGCTGCTCCCGCCGTCTGGAATGCACGTCCGGCATCGGCTAGGCTGCTCGTTTGGGACATGCCGCCTGACAGCCGTCTTCCTGAGGCCCTATTAAGTGCTTCCCCTAAGCACTCTGCATGTCACTTCCTGCTATTCCCATGGTGCTTATCACCAGCTGCACTGACAGTCTTCGCACTACGAGTGTGCCCCCCCGCCCGACTGCTGACTCCAGGACCGCCAAGCCGCGGGAGCCTGGGACTGAGCCCAGCACACAGCAGGCCCTCAGCGTGGCCGATGGAGCCCCTCGCTTCGCTAACCTAGTAAAAGACAGAGCTGCTTTGAGTCACTTACAAGCCAGTGGCATAGCAGATGATGGTGTTACACCCTTGGGACCTCGGCGGAGAGGACGGGCCAGCCTGGGCCCAGCCCCCCTGGAATTTAGGTCCTTCCTTGGGGGTCTTTGTTGTTGTTGGGGTAATTTCTCTGTGACTTTTGGGTACCTGTCTCAAACTCAGGAGAGCTGCCCCCGGAGAGCTGTGCTGCAGCCCTCATCCTGGGCGTGTGGCTAGGCAAGGGGTCTGACGAGATCTGCCGCCAGCAGCCCTTTGATGCGGGGAAGGGCTGTTTTCGAATGTGCTACCTAATGAGAACAAAGGAGATAAGTAAGAAGATTTTTAATGGCTGTTTTTTTTTTTTTTGCTGTTTGATAATAAATACGAGCACTGAAGTAACTCAGAAGTTAGCCCACTCTCTCCAGCCCTTCTGGCGCGGGCTGGACGGACGGGCGGGCCCAGGCTTCGGGCCTGCAGAGAAGGGTAACGTCAGCGTCTGTCCCTGCTGACCCCTCGCCAGCTCGTGAGCTGTCAGTTAGCAGGAGGGTCGCGTCCCCTAAGAGTTGTCGTGTTTGAATGCCACAGCCTCTTCAACCTTGTCAGGGAATTTGCTCCTTTTAAAAAAAAAAAAAGTATACTTTCTTGAGGTAACAGTGCTCTGTAACATTGCCATGACCGTCGTGTTTCAGCATCTGTGGCAGGGCGTTTCTGCCCTCGCCGTACCCTCGCCCCTCTGCCCAGCCGGGCAGCCCCCGGCCCCTCTGGGAACCGCTCATTGGGCTTACCGCCTGGAGGTGACTGTTTGTTCTAGTGTGTCCGTGTGCTCGCTTGCTCTCTGTGCCTCTGGGAATGAGGGAAACGTGGCCCTGCGGCTCCCTCGGCTCCCCGGGGCCTGTTGCGCAAGGGTGTCCTGTGACAGTCTGGAAACTAGGCCCGGCAGCCCTCTTTGTCCACGAAGTGCGGGGTTCCTGCGCTGTAGGTGGTGACTTTCAAATGCTCCTTTGCTCACAGAAAACAAACCCTGCCCCTGTTATTCTTAGGACAAGTGTCACTAAGGCCCAGAGAAGACTCCGCTGTGCTGAGCGCTGGCCCTCCCGGGCGCGCCTTGGCCGTGGGTGGGGAGGGACAGACAGCCCCGGCAGTGCCTCTCCCCCCAGAGCCTGACCCGCTACTGAGTGTTTGCATCTGATTCTCTCTGTAGATTGCTGCTAAAATTGATTCAATTCCTCACTTGAATAATTCCACACCTCTAGTGGACCCCTCAGTGTACGGCTACGGAGTGCAGAAGCGGCCCCTGGATGACGGAGGTAAGCTGCCAGAGCCTTCTTGCGGGCGGGCGCTGCTTCCTGCGGCGCCTCGGGCCGAGTGCGGGCCCCGGGGCTCGTAGGGTGATTTCTCTCAGCATCGCTCCAGCGTTTGAGTTCTGATTTGCCTTGATAATGCAGGCATCTTTCCGGCTGGGCTCTCAGGAAAAGACTTGACCCCCAGCACCAACTTGGAACTAATTTGACCAATTCTGGGAGTTTGGTTTGATTTAGCCCTTCGTTCTTCGTTCTTCTGGGGATTGAAGTTGCCTTTTTTCCCAAAGAAAAGCTCAGACTCAGGTGCGTTTCTGCAGAGAGCCCAGGTGCCCTCTGTTCTGCTCCAGCCCCCACAGGTGCAGCCGTAAAGGGAGCCTACATTGCACGTGGGGGACGTGGGGGGACATGGGGGTCGGAGACTCCTCTCTGCTCATCGTCCGCGGTGACCTTGGACGTTTGTGTTCCGGTGATGTGTTAACTGGAGACAGTCGAGGTGCCATGACTTACAGTGTCGACCCCTGTCCCCCCCAAAGTACATGTTTTCCTGTCCATAGAAAAATGCAGAATCTGGCATGACTGACTGGTCTCTTCCGGATTCTGAAAAGTGGAGATCGCTGCTGTTTGTCATGTGGGAATCTTTGGAATAATCGCACAGACAAACATTGTGAAGATTTTATGGCACAGCACCCACGTGGGTGTAGATAATCAAGCCGTTATGTTTACACTCATACACACGGATGATACACCTCAGGGCCCTTGAAATCAGGGTGACCGTTTAAACTGCTGCTCCAGAATGAGTGTTGTGATCGCTTTGTGTGTGACTGGAGCTGGCGATGCCTCAGACCAGCCTGACGGATGGCACTGTCAGCTTTTCGCTCGCGCTGTACACCGTAACACAGAGTAGCCTTTCAGGTTAATCATGCTTCAGTTCCTCCTCTGGGGCATCAATATCAAAATAAAACGAAGCCGGACCGGCTTTGAGTCTGCGCCTCATTGATGAACAGAGCCCCTCTGGCCCTGTTCCCAGCAGCCCGGATCAATACATTTCACCACTTTCAGCCTTGTTTTCCCGGGGCGTGGGGTGGAGGTGCAAGGCTTCGGCCACAGTGAACAGGAAGGCACTGTCCTTTGCATAAGAAAAGCCTAAATGTTTGCAGATGAAACCACTGGCATTTGTAGGCTTTTCCTCTTTAGTTTCCTGCACACCCTTTTGAAAGAAATTAGCACAGGTCTGTGAACCTCTCCATAGAGAGAGCCAGGGTACAGGCCGGTGAAGGTCCTACATCACCAGTCGGTCCAGAATCTCATTTGAGGACCCCAGTTCAATATTTTGGCCTCTTTTTTTAGAACCATGACTTTTTGCATTGTCTGCCTTCTGTGCGGGCTGAGTCCTTGTGATCAGAAAGTGAGCGTAGTTACTCTTTCTTCTCTTCTAAATGATAAGCCTTTTTTACAGGAAGGAAGCGCCTCTGCCAGGCACGAGCTCTCCCACACCTCTGTACCTGTCCTGTGCGAGACGTTTCCCCGAGGGACTTACATCTGCTTACAGTTTGTAAAAATTAATGCCCCTTTGCCGAGTGCCGTTTAGCTGACGTAATTCTGTGACTTACTGGTCTCCACAGGCAGATCTGACATTAGCTGTTGCCCGCAGTGGGCACCCTGGCATCCGGGCTGGCCCCACTGAGTTGTCTGTCTCTCCTGTAGGGCGGGGCCACTGGACCGTCCTGCTTTCTGGGGGCCATGTGCTTATCGCCGGACCCCAGGAAGGGCTTGGGGCTCGGGTTTACCCAGAGGCTTTATCAGGTCAGCCCGGCTGTTTTTAGGGTGGGAGTTTAGAAAAGCAGAGACAAGCAGCAAACAGGCGCCCCAGAACCCCCTTTTCATCTGTGAAGGTTTCAAGGCTTTGTTTGACTTGGCTTGGGCTTTTGTTTTTTTGGGTTTTCCCTGACAGGTTCACCAGATCACTGCTTTAGCAATGTGAACTTTCCGACGTGATGTGGAACTGGGCTCTTGAACCTTTTGGAGGTTAAAGTTTAGTCCCCCGGGACCTTTTGGAGGTATCATACAGTTTGCGTTATTTGGGCCTCAGTCACCCAGAAAGGAGCTTTAATTTTGGTTTATTCAGGCTTGGACACTGGCAGCAAGTGTTTGAGTGGGAGGATTTTTAAGGTACTGGCAGGAAAGGGAGGGCACAGATTTGTTCCTCCTGGACGAGGGGCCTTGGGCTGGCAGTGGCCCGAGGCGGTGTTGAGCTGTCTGTCAGCCCGCTGAGAGCCCCACTGGAGCTCACCTGGGCGCGTGGCGCCCGGGTCACTGTAACTCTCGTGCCTCAGACCCTGGTTGGCCCCCCCCCCCCCCCCCGTGCCTTACATGCTGGTCTCGAGCCTCATGTGCACACTTCTCTGCTCTTCCTGCACATCCCTCCCAGCGCTTTACCTGGCTGACCACTCCTCCTTGACCTTTAGGTGTCAGGCGGACAGGACTTCCTGCGGAGCCTGTCCTCATCCTGGTCTTCTGCTCTCGAGCGCCACCTCCCTTCTGTCTCTTCCCTGTCCCCCCCCCCCCTTTACACTCGCCTCACCAGGAAAATAAATCACACTCTGCGCTGCACTCCAAGTGGCTCGTTTGCCCGCCTTCTGGGCACGTCCCAGCCTGTGTGCGCCGAGGACACGCGACGCCATTGTTTCCTTCTAGCGTTTAGAATGTTCTCTAGAAAGGGAGCTCTAAGTTTAGCATAAGTTCAGCTAAGTGATCCAGTCAGGTTGAGATGGTTTTTCTTTTTTTCTTTTTTAATGATTTTTTTCCGCATGCAAGAACTAGGGTGTAGGCCAGAGATGGGGCGGGGGGTGGGGTGAGAGGATTCGCCAGGGACAGAGAGGAGCAGAACAGGCAGATGGGCTGAAATACACTAATGCAAGGAGACAGGAGAGGTCTGCTGCGCCCCGTGGCCACTCCCCGGCCGGGGACCGAACTCCAGCTGCTGTGGCTGCGGTAGTTCGGTAGTGCTGAGCCTGAATCCTGTGCCCAGGAGACGGCGGTTCTGTCTTACTGCCCGACCACCTGCTCAGGCACCGTCCCGCATCTCAGCTCCGGCCCTGCCACTGGCCTCTGTGCTAGCGGCTGGCGCCCGAGCAGGGCCGGGCTGGTCGCACCGCCTGGCGACGCCGGAGGCCGGCCCTTGGCCGCGTGGGCCCAGCCTTCCCCTTCCTCTGGCCTTGTCCGGCAGAGAACTCTTCAGTTAAGGAGGCTTGAGGCTGCCCCTGCTCTCCTTAAACAGAGCTCCTGGCTCAGTGCCACTGTCTAGCCTCTCGATGGCCCGAGAGGACTAGAGGCCTCCAGTGCTTCGCCCAGACCTGGTCGCCAGGTGGGCGGCAGCCCTCGTCTCTGCCTGCTCTGCGATTCCTTTTCAGGTCGCTGCCCAGGAGAGTTGAATCGAACAGGCCTGGCTTTGCCCTTGGTAGGAAGGTGGCACAAAGCTAGGTCTCCCTCTGCGGGGGCGGGGGCCTGAAAAACTCCAAATAGGCCGCCCCCTTCTACCAAGGACCCAGCTTTGACATTTATCCTCTCACTCAGCACCACACTTGTGATTTCATCTCAGTGGCGTTCTCGTGGGGTGTAGGGAAGAATGCTGGGCGTGCTAGCGCCTGACTGCGAGGCCGGGCGGGCTGTTTCTAGGAGCTTCCAGGCACTTGCAGCATAGAGCAAAGAGAAGGGGGGGGGTTCTTTTTATAACTCTGGACTTTCACAGAAGAGAGAGAGGTATCTACTACCCTAGTCTGTGGTGCGGCCACAGTTCTTGCTGCCGTGGGCAAGTGACAGAAGAAGGGTGTCTCGGGCGCTGTCACGCCCCAGTGGAGGACAGTGGCAGTGGGTGGGGCGGAGGGGTCAGGCCAGTGCTCACCCCTGCCGTTGAGGGGCAGGGGAGATTTGCCTTGCAAGCAGCCGGCAAAGCGGGCCAGGGCTGTCAGCAGAAGTCTCTGGCTGGACGGAGAAGTCCTCTGGGGGCCGGTGGGGCCAGTGGGCACTTACTCCCTGACAATCCTACTGCTTTGCCATGTCCCACGTGGGTCTGGCCAGGACACTGAGCCCTTCTCGGGCATCAGCCTGTGCGGGGACGCCCCATCAGACAGAGCCAGTCGGGTCAGGGGAGTCTAAAGGTAAGGTGATGTGGGGAACTTGCAGCGAGGTGGACGGGGCAGGATATGGTTTGGAGTCCATCCAGAGAGCAGCTCGGTAAAGCTGTGCTGCCCCTTCCCCGCCCTCCTGGCGTCTTGAGTGTGACTCAGGAGTGAGTGGAAGTCCCAGGAGTGCACGTTAATACACACGTAAGGTGAGAGAGGTGGGCCTTCCTGGCCCAGGACGAGCTGATTGGCTTGACCGTTGGCTCGGCCAACCGAGTGAATGGACGTTCCCACCAGACGCGTGGGCGTGCACTCCGCGTGCATCCGTGTTGATGCAGTGTGACTGAAGCCCATGCGTGCGGTCCCTGTTACGCACTTTGTGCCCGCTTAACCTGGGGGAAGTTGAGTGTCCAGCTAAAAGGGACCCAAGCTGTTTGACGAAATCTGTGACCCATCGTGCCCTCCTTGGGGAGAACTACCCTAGAAGTTTGAAATGCCTGTCTTCGTGACGGCATTGCCAGAACTTAGAACAAGCATGTGCTTGGCATTGAGCTTACGGCTGTACTGCTGGCACCTGTGTCCCCAAGAAAAGGAAAACTGACACCCTACAGAAAACCATCTACAGAATTCATTGCGATCTACTTGAACAGCCTCAAACAGCCTAGATAGTCTTGAGCCAGTCGAGGACTCAAAAGCCATCACATCCATGCCATGGAACATTACTCAGCAGTGAAAAGGAACAAACCAATGCTGTCTGCCGGTGACCCAGAAGACTCGTCAGGGGACTGTGCCAAGTGAGAAAAGTCACTCCCCAAAGGTCACGTATTGTGTGGCTTTGTTCATCTAGCATTTGGGCTGGCAAGGGTTAGCTCCACAGCCACGGGGGCAGCTGTACCTGCGTAGATATGAGATCACAGCTGGAAGGGCCCTGGAGCTCCTGCAAGAAGCAGGAACTCACTCTGGCACTGCGCTGGCCACGGGTGGACGCCTGACGCGAGGCGGAAGGAAGATGGGAGCGTGGCGCGTTCCCGGGTAGGGCTTCGGTCCCCGCCCGGCCCCGGCCACTTAGCCTCTGGCCGCTGTCTCCTCGCCGGTGAGGTGGTGCCCACGCCCGCTTGGCGAGAGGAGGAGGGTACAAAGCAGACGTTTCACACTGAACCCGCTCGCAGCGCAGGACACCTCGTCGCCCGCAGGCCCTGGCGCTTAGCGAGCACGTCGGACTGAAATACAGGCTCTAGGAGGCATACGGCGGGGACTGTCACGTTTTCATGAAGCTTCTCAAGTCCCCCAAATCGGTTTTCATGCCCACTGGACTACATGCAAATAAGGCACGGTGCTTTCTTGCCCGTGCGATCTGCTCCTCGCCCGCCTGCTGCGGTGCCCGTGGGGCAGCCGCCGCCTGGGGAGGGTTCGGGGCTGGGCTGGGCACTGCTTCCCATTCAGCCCTAAGCTTGCTACGGGCAAAGATGGCCTGGCTCACCGTTTTGTCCCCAGAACCTGGCTTCGTGCCCAGCACCTGGAAGGCAGCCGTCTGGCATGAGGGACAACCAGAGGGTCAGTGCCGCAGGAGGAACACGCTGCGTTGAAACCCCAGCGTGAAGGCAGTGAGAGTGCGGCTGGAGCCCGCTGGCTCCCGTGGGGCTGGGTGGCGACTGCCGGCTACGCAGCCGTGTGTCACACTGCAGGGAAGTGACGGTGTGGGGAGACCTACTCTCTCTTAGAAAAGATAATCTGCAAAATGAGGAACAGATGGGGGGACTTTGTGCTGGCCTGTCAGTGTTTGGTGGCCCCAGGGCGAGAGTGGCTGCCCTAGAACACAGGAAGCCTTTGTATTGTCCTTGGGGGGGAGCGTTGAAACCCTTCGAAGGCTGCAGAAATCCCTGCAGCTAACTCACGGGGGCTTTCTGACCTCGCTGAGCAGTCAGCGTCGAGGGGTCTCCGCAGACCAGGCTCCCGGCCTGAGTGGAGGGTGGTCTCAGCACTGCAGGGGCAGATTCGGTGTCTGTCGGTGTGGCCAGCCACAGGCCTGCCCACGGCACCCCCACGCCTCACTCCCTGCCTGGGCCCCGGCCCTGTGTCCTGCGGTGTGGCCTCCGAGCAGGGTGGGGGTGCTTTTGTTGCTCAGGCTTGTATTTGGGGGTGAACTATTGAGACTGATACACATTATAGAGAGGAATGGCCCTGGTGCTGTTTGTTGGCGCTGCTCTTGGGAAAGAGCAGAGGCATTTCCCCTCCGCACTCGGGGAAATGGGTCCGGGTCTCACGTTTTTCAGCCACCTTATTTTTTTTTTTTTAAGATTTATTTATTTGTGCATATGGAATTGGGGTGCAGGCCAGAGGTGCAGGGGCGGTGAGAGGCTTCACCAGAGACAGAGTGGGGAGCAGAACAGGCAGATGGATGAAGTACACTGCTGAGGGGAGCAGCGGGCGGGCCAGGAGAGGTCTGCCGCGCCATGTGGTCACCTCCGGGGCAGGCGGGGATCGAACTCATGCGGAAGCGGCTTTAGATTGTCAGTGCTGGGCTTTAACCCGCTGCGCCACCGGGGAGGGCCCTCAGCCACCATTATTGAGATCGGCAGAGTATTGCTCGTGAGGAAGAATTTCTCATACTTGTACCTTGAATACTTTCCCAGGAAGCTCGTCTCGGCGGCCAGCAGCCGGTTGCGTGGCGCAGCTGAGCACGCCGCCTGCCGCCTGCCGCTGGCCTGGCTTGCCTGGAGGCCGCCGGCGACTGCAGCTTTCCTTCAGGAAATGACGGCCCTCAATCCAGGCGCAGCCTGATAGTGCCCCTGTCTGCATCTGCCTCCCTGGCCTCTTCTCGCGGAGACACCGCTCCAGCTCGTTGCTGGCAGGGCGCGTGCCCGGTGCCCCTGCTCCCTCGGAGCGTTGTGTTTTCAAGCACCAAGTGGGGATGTTCCGGACGGGGTGACCCTTGGTCACACAGCCTTTGTGGGGAGGGGGGACCCCGTCCCTCTCGGAGCCCACCGGCTCAGAGCTCCCTGGCCTGGCCAGCGGCTGCCCTCACAGCCGTCCGTCTGTGGGCGCGGCGCACATCTGGTCCCCGTAAGAGCCTCCATTCGTCGGTGCCGTGGGACAAGAAGCCACCCGTGTGGCACCCGGGACGTTCTTGGCCAACAAAAAGGAGCGATGAGCACAAGCTCTCGTGGCTTTTACCCGGGAGTCCCCGAGTGGCCTTGTGAATCTCGTGGCACCCGTCCTGGTCGTGCTGCCCTCTGTTCTGTGGCTCTGCCTGAAATAGGGGGCAGCCGTCACGTGTGACTCCCCTCAGCAGACAGCACTGTGGGCCCGGCCCACTGCCCTGTCCGGGGAGCAGCACCCGCCGCTGCATGCTCGTCCCTCCGAGGCTCCCCGTAGTGTCTCCCTCTAAGAGGGCTTCCAGCAGCGGGCGGGGGAGCTCGGCTCACGGTGGGGACCTCCCAGCAAGCTCCGGGACGTCCGGCCCTCTCCCTGGCCCACCCAGGCCCCAGAGGGCAGACAGTCCCCCCTCGGAGCACCCAGGGCCGGCTGGGGGGCGGCGGCCTTCCTGAGCACGACGGCCAGTGCTCACGAGGAACGGGAGTGAGAGCGTCGCCAGGTGCGGGCTCTGCTCGGCCGCGCCGGGTGGACGGACAGGACTGTGTCAGTGGGGCGCAGGTCTCATCCCTGAGCTAAGCAGATTAGTCCTACGTGATGTCAATATTTTGGCTGCAGACCATCATCTCGCTATCGATCCAGAGAAACACGGTATTGACTCCCAAGTGCGCTTCCTTTCTGCGAGATTGTCTCTCTTTGCTTTCCCTTCTCTTAGAGTCTCCTTTTGTGGTGCCTGTTCTTTGTCTTCCTGTGACTGGCTCCTGTCTGGTCAGAGTGGCGAGCTCAGTTCAGGCAAAGGGTCACGCGCACGGGGCCTGCGTCAGGTGTGAGGCCGCGGCCAGGGTGCCGCGGAGGCCTGTGCCCGCTCTCCGCACGCTCAGGGACGGGTCTGGAAGCCGCTCGGGAGCGGGGTGTGAGGATCATGCCCCTTGGGATGGCTTTGGCCTTGCACGTTGCACCGTCTGTTGCCTTCCCGGGGCTGCGTTTTCCAAAGGAGGAGCGTCGCGGGTCTGTGTTGCTGATGTGGGGGGAGGAGACACTCCTCGGTAGCTGAAAGGGAGAAACTGGAGCAAAAGCGTAGCTAAAGCGGTTCTGTGGGAATGCCACCCCAGACGTGGTTTTCAGGATGAGGGCCGCGGGCGCCGCTGTCTGTGAGATGGGCCCAGAGGCCATCGCGCGTGGCGGGTCAGCGCAGAAGCCCCCCGGGAGGGGCGCGGGCTCTGCTGGGCGTCGCCGAGGCCGGCGCGGGCGGCGGCAGGGACTTGTGCACGGCGCTGTAGGCAGCAGCTGCTGGCCCTGGACAATGCTCGCAGGAGCGGGCGGCTTAAATCCCTCATTTGTTTGAAAAAGAGAAAGGAGCCCTCCTCTCTTCACATTGAGCTGGGGTGCGGGCAGGAGGGAGGTGGCCGGAGAGGGATTTAGGCACCGGGCTCTGCCAGGCCTCCCAGCGTGGACCTCAGATCAATGCCTTCAGCTGGGCCCTGGCTGGGGGCTGGGGGTCGAGGCCCCCCCGTTTCGTGTCACATGCCGCATTCATTTCAGCCGCTGAGCCTGAATTACCGTTCGCTGCTTTCCGCTTTCTTTTCCCCCTGAAATGGTAAGAGCGCGTGTGAGGATGAAGTTCGTTTATCCGTGCTAATGCTTTGATTTTCCTTTTCTCTTTCTCTTTGCCGCAGTAGGTAACCAGTTAGGGGCCTTGGTACATCAAAGGTAAGCAGTGGGTTATGTTTTATTATTTATTGATCATCTCTAATTGTTTATTGACCCCCATCTGTACCCGTTAGGAAGTCAGAGGCAGAGCGTGCGAACACGCACGGGCTGGTTGCGCTCCGACCGCTCTGGGCGTGACTCAGTGAGCCCTGGGGGCAGCCTGCCCCGCTCAGCACCGGCCGTGGCTGTAAGCCGAGCGCACTCGCAGCACGCCAGCACTGTGCTTTCTGCCAGTGGCCACTTGATTGGAGAGAGGGTGTGGGGCCGCTCCCAGCTTGACGGCCCTCCTAGCGTCCACACCCGTCCCTCGGCCCCAGATGAGAGCAGCTTGCCCGGGATCCAGCTGACGTGACCACTGGGGCCTCCGCTGCAGAGAGAGGGCTCCGGACACCCAGAAGCTCACCAGTCAGAGGTGGCCTGTGGCCGCAGGGAGCCCCTTCCTCATGGGAGGACGCTGCGGGGCTCCAGCAGGCGTGGCCATCACCTCGACCTTCGCCAGAGCTGGTCCTGCCCGTAGATGTCTGGGGCTCTCTTGAAGTCACCAGACAAGAGTTGACCAAAAGATACTCCCCCCCGAGTTTTTGTTGGCTTGTTTTTGTTTTGTAATAAATTAAATGAGGTGGTCGGAGCGGCAAAGGCAGCTGGCCTGCATCCCACGATTAGTCAGGGTTCTGCGTCCCCCAAGTGCAGGAGCCAGGCTCAGCCTCATATGGCTGCAGGCCTCCGTCAGAGCTGAGCTTCCAAAGGCGCTGTGAAAGGTTCTCACCTTGAGTACCTTTCCCCCCACAGAGCGCGTGGTCAGGTTGTCCCCAAGGGCTGAAGAATGGCAGAGTTGGGGGTTGTGTTAGTGGGGTGCCCCTTCTAGGAACTCCCCTGGTACTGAATTCTAAAGGGACCATATACCACACCCTCCTCAGCATCAGAAAGCACTCCCTGGCCCCACTATCCAGGATGGACCCCACCAAGCAGGACCAGGACCACACCCCCATTATCCCTGATTCAGGGTGAGTGGGAATATCCTGGCAGGTAGAGGGAACCCTTATGCATCCGTGTGCACACCCCACTGGCACAGCATGGTACGGGGCTTCCCACCCATCACACCTCCTCTCCCCGCTGCACTCCCCTGAGCACGCACGGTGCCCCCCCCAGGATGGCGCCCCAGGAGGGGTGTTTCAAAATGCTCGCCTTTTTTAGCCACTTGCATTTAGCTTCCTTCAGCGGTAAATGTAAAGGTTTAATTGCTTTTGGGGTACTGGCAGGTTGGATGTTTTCCGCAGTGTACCATAGGGCGCCTCTGAAGGTTGGTCTGAGTCAGCACAGTAGTTGTGGGGTTTTGTTTTGGTTTGTCCTTTTTGTGGTGGGGTTTGCTTGCTTGCTTTAAAAAACGCTTAACCGGGGACGGGGGGCACGTATTTGCACAGTCCCACAGAGCGAGGGGCGGCCAGGTTGCGTCCTGTCAGCGGTGACCAGGCTGCCGGTGCTGTTGGGGTGTTTTACCTTAAAAGATACCAATAAATGAGAAGGAATCCGGAAAATAAAAGATTACAAAATAAGGAATGCTGGGGGGAAGATCCCCAACGCTTCGTCCAGAGCAGACGCCAGACGAGAAGCCTCACAGCTCCTGAGACCCTGAGAATCTTCAGGAGTCCCGAGGTGGGGTGGGGGCGGGGGCGGGGCAGTGAAGCCGACTGAGCACCTGTGTGGTCCTGGTTCCAGGAACAGCCGGGGCTCCTCCAGGGTCCAGGGCCCCCGGTCTGTTGAAGGGGTGATCAGCTAGAGGCTCACTAGCCCGAGCCGGAGTGGCCTGGCTGGCAGCACAGGGAGGCTCTTACCTTCCAACATGGGGAAACTGGAAGACCTAAGTTGGCTGCAAAATTCTCCATATTTTTTCCTGAAAATGTTTTTTGTTTTTAGGGCAGTTATAACAGAAGAATTCAAAGTGCCTGATAAAATGGTTGGATTTAGTAAGTATCTGCTTTGTCCTCTCTTCCTGACACCCGTCTGTCCTCATCTTAATCCCTCAGAGCCACACCTGTCCAAGAGTGCTTGGCATAAGGAGTGTTCTCAGGAGCCCCAGGGCGAGACCAGAACACTGGGCCATGGCTCCCGGCTCTGTTCCTCACCCCACCTGTGCGGCGTGCCCTCTGCCAGCCTGCCGTGTCCCCATAACCGTTTCTGTGGCTCGCTGAGCCCAGTCTGGCCTGTCGTGCTCTGAGCCGGGCTTGAGTGTCGCGGAGACAGTCGTCCGGCACATTCTGACACTGTTCACTTTGTTGCAGTTATCGGCAGGGGAGGGGAGCAGATTTCACGGATTCAAGCAGAATCTGGTTGCAAAATTCAGATCGCTTCAGGTAAGGGCTCCTTCCTTCCTTCCTTTCTTCCTTCCTTCCCCCCACAGAGCTCAGTTTGTAGGCTTCACTACTTCGCAGTTGTCCAGGTTCAGTGCCTTTGCTTGTTGCGTAGACGTGGAGGGGCTTGGGTAAGTATGTGCGAGTGCCGTTTCTTGTGCTTCTGGAGCTGAACTCCCGGATGAGAACTAGAAAGACCAGCGCAGAGATGCGCTGCCCGGCCGACCTCGGACGCCTCGCAGCTCTGGCCTGGCGCGGCCCCTCCCAAGCACCTGCTGCCCTGGGCCTCTGTTTTCTGCACCAGAATGTTGTGTAGCGGCCCTGGCGGGACTGGGGCCTGTGGCCGTGAGGTCACTCCCGGGAGCTTCTCATCGGCTCTCCTGGGTTACACCTTCACTGCCCTTTGCGAAATGAGGCCAGCCGCGGTCTGGCTACATGAGCACGTGTTAAAACAGTCCGGGACCTCCGCACGGGGTCCGTCTTGCCCACACGATATGGAGAGAGGCAGCATGCAGCACAGTTTCATTATGTTCATGGTTTTATCATCTGAGTTAAGTCTGGCCTGTTTCCATAGTGGAGGGGGTGGAGGGTGTTCAACTAGAGAAACGTTTGTCGTTTAAAGATAATTTCATTGTCTCGAAGGTCGTACCTGCTGCTAGCTAGCTTCTCCTTTTTCTGCAGTAAGAATTTGGAGAGGCCTTTTTTTTTTTTTTATGTAAGAGTAAAGCGATGTGCCATTGGCATTGTTGAAAAGTAAGATTCTGTTCTCTTGTCTGATGGCCCGGCCCACATACATGTCGCTGATCCCCTGAGGTAATCATGCAACAGCAGCGGTAACCAGAACACACCCCGCGAGTCTTACGCTGTGCCACGGGCCAGCGGCCCTGAGGGGCGGCTGGGGAGCCGTGGCCACGAGGGGCTCGTCAGCGCCCTGATGGGCCGGCTGCGAGCTGCGCCTGGGGATGAGGGCCAGCACCCAGACGCCCGCTCTGTGCCCGCCCGCCCAGGACTTGCTGCAGTGGAGAGTGTCGGGCGGAGCTGCCTGCTCGCGAGCCCTCCCCAAGTGGGAGCTGACGGCCTTAGCCTGGGCGCCGGGGCCTCTGCGGGCCGGCACAGGCGCCAGCCCAGAGGCAGTCTGCACGCAGGGGCCAGGGTGCGGCTTGCCCGATGCCCGCCAACACACCTCGTCTTCTCGATTCTTCTTATAGAGAGTTCTGGGATTCCAGAGAGGCCCTGTGTACTTACCGGAACCCCAGAAAGTATTGAGTAAGTTTGTTTTATTTACTTTTTCCTTTCACTCTTCTTCCTCCTTCCCCAAGTGGGGAGAAATGGAAGGGCAGGGCTGCTACTGGACACGGTCATCTGGGCCACAGTCCCGCCGCAGGCGCTGTTGCAGAGAAGGCGGGGAGGTCGCCGCGCCAGGGGTTTTTCTGCTAACCTTAATAAGCCCAAGAGGTACCATCTTTTTTAACACACTTCACGATTTCTCACAGCTGCCATAACACCTCCCTCATAAACCAGGCTCTCCAGGGTCCGGCCTGCTGACCTGGTTACTGTGGTGGACTTGGTCTTCCCCATGAAGACCACTGCTCAAGGGTCTGTTTGAGAGGCTTGTTGCTATGGACCGTTGAGAATCTGGTGCCCAGTGTCGGGCCGCCGCTGCCGCTCTCGTCCTCGTGAACCAGGGGCCTGGCTCCCGGTGGCCTTTGCCCTGGCCGTGCAGACCTTGCTCGGGCGTCTCGACTGCAGGGTCCCGCCACGGCCGATGGCCACTTCTGCTCCCACCAGCCCACACCTGCTGCCCAGCACTGGCCCCGGCCCCAGGGCTCCTGGGCAGGGCACTGCCCCTTCCGCTTTAGTATCCTGCGTGGCCCAGAGCCTACCGGGCCCAGCTCGGCAGGTGGGGCTGTTCCATTGTTTCCATTTCCCGGGGAGTGGAAGTTCTGGCATGGCAAGCATTGAGCCGGAACACATCTCACTGGCCGGTGTGCATTGTGGGGCGAGCAGGAAGGTCTCGCTGGACCGAGGGTTTGCTGCCCGTGCAGGTTAGCGGGGGCACAGCAGTGTTCCAGAGCCGCTGTGGCGGAGGATGCCCACCCCGCACACAGCGGCCCCAGCCGCCAGGCGGCACCTTTCCCTGCCGGTCTCTTCTTCCTCCCCATCTCCTCACCACCCTGCCTCCTCTCCGACCCCGGAGTCGCGGGGAAGGGACTCCGACGCGACGCGCGGGATCGGTTCAGTAGGCGGCACAGCCGCTGTTTCTTACCTGTCGCGGGGCCAGCATGGGACGAGGTGGTGTGAAGAATAAGTGCGGCCGACACAGGGCAGAGATTCTGGTGCAGAAAAAGGAATTGGCCCGACAGCGGCCCCGCCGGGCTGGTGCTGACTGGCGGGGCTGGGGCGTGGCCTCTTAGTGCCACCTCCCTCCCCGCCGCGTCACTCGGCGTAGGCGGGGTCACTGGGCGCGCGAGGGAGGGCCTGCACATCCAGCACAGGGCGCGGTCAGCACAGGTGGCCTTGGCCTGCTCGTGGAGTGGAGGCTCGGAGCCGCGACCGTGCTAACCCTCGCTTGCTTTCTTCCTGTCCTCCTCGTCGCTCGCTCTCCCGCCTGCCTAACCAGCCTCCGCGGGGTGTCCTCGGTGAGGAGGGTCGCGCTGGCCCAAAGCACAGGCGTGCCAGGGCGGGCGGCCCGCCCAGAGCGGCTGCCGCGCCAGTAGGCGGGAGCCGTGTTTGAGGCGTGGACCCAGCGCACCTGAAGGGCGGCGTGTGGGGCAGGGGCTCCGTCCGGCGCGCCCTGTGCAGTGTGATTTCTGCGTTGCAGCCCAGTTGCACACCGATGGCGAGCCCTCCGGGCCGGGCAGGAGCGGAGCTGGCTGGAGGGCGGCCGTGCCTGCGACGCTCCCTGGCGCGGCCCCGGGCGCATGTTTAATGCAGCTTCTCCTGTGGCTCTCTCCCTCCCAAAGACAAGCCAAGAGGCTCCTGGGGCAGATCGTGGACCGCTGTCGGAATGGGCCTGGCTTCCACAGCGACGTGGACAGCGGCAGCGCCATCCAGGAGCTCCTCATCCCTGCTTCCAAAGTGGGCCTGGTCATCGGCAAGGGCGGGGAGACCATCAAGCAGCTGCAGGTACGGGCTCCGCTGGGTCAGACCTTCCCTGGCTAGGCTTTGGGCTCAGCTCCCTCCCCCATGGGGCTGCAGCGCTCCCCAGAACCTTTGCCAGGTGCTTCCTGGCTCCCCGCATTTGGTGAGCCCTTTCTGGGCACCGGCTGTGGCCAGGCCTGATGCTGCGACGACGCTGTGAGCTCGCGGTGGCCAAGGCCCAGGTTGGGCTGCCCGGACCGGCGGCGGCGGCAGTGCCTGTCCTGCGTTGCCCGCGGGGCCTCAGTACGTCACATTCTTGGCCAAGGCTCGGGGGCGGGGCAGCGGCCACGCCGGGACCCTGCCCCCGTCTCCGCTACACGAGGCGCAGCTCGGGCCGCATGCAGGTGCTCGTGCGCCCTGCACCTGCTGGTCGTGGCACCCTCGTCTGGGACGTGTGGGGCCGGCAGGTTTCAGTGGCCAGCACCCCCGGCACAACTGGAGCTGACCCTGGCTAGATGCTTGTTTCTGCAGCCAAACATGGTAACAGCCGCACGCACCAAGGAGGCCAGGCTGCGGCCACTAGCTGTGGTGGGTTTTATCTTGAGCTTTTGGACTTCTGGGGCCGCAGGTCCATCCACAGCCATGTCGGTCGTGCCCGCACAGCCCAGTGCCCAGGCGGCAGGGGCACTCTCCATTGGCGATTGAGGTGCTAAGATTTGAGGTCCCAGACTCCAGGCATGGGCCCCCCGACTCATTAGCACTGGGACCTTAGGGGTGCTTCTCGGGTCCTCCCTCATTGGTGATGGGGCGCGGGGGCCACGTCCCACTGGTGGCTGTGTCTGCTCCAGCCAGGGCAGGGGTAGTCTTTGGCTCGGCGCTTGACCTCTCGTGCAGAGACTGGTTATACTTGGGCATCCGGGGCGCGGGCGGGAGGTGGGTTTGGAAAGTGGCTTTCTGTGCCATGCTTAGAATCGCCTCACGCGGCCCCGTGTTGGCGTTCTTGGAGCACCTGACCCCAGGGCTTCTCGCGGGCCTGTGCTGTTGTCTCTGACCCTGAATGCCTGCCCTTTGTGCCCCCAGGAGCGGACCGGCGTGAAGATGGTCATGATCCAGGACGGCCCGTTGCCCACGGGGGCAGACAAGCCTCTCCGCATCACTGGGGACCCGTTTAAAGTACAGGTGGGAGTGCCAGGGAGCGGGGAGCCCGGAGTACTGTCCCTGGCAGTCACTCTAAAGCTCGGTCAAGAGGCCGTAAGCTGTGTGTCGCTGTGCCCAGCCATGGTGCACTTGGTGAGCACACCCACCTGCCACAGAGCCAGCCCAAGACCGTGAATCTGATGCGCACACCACTTCTGGTGGTCTGTCTTTGTTGTCTGGCTTTGGCTTTCCGAGAACCGGGACTCATCCGCCTCGGTTTGCTTTGTGGGTGACTCCCACGGGGCTGGTGGGTGCAGGCGGCGCTGTGCCTTCTCTGCGGGAGGGCCCTGAGCTGGACGGCAGGGCAGGAGATGGTCTTGCCAGCTGGCATTGCGATCGGAGCTCTGAGCACTGGGTGCTTTCAGGCCTTCACCCCTGACCTCTAGATAGCCTGTGGGAGGGGCCCCTCGGGGAAAGGAGTCTCCCACATGGAACCTGTCCCAGCAGAAGCTGAAGGACCACCTGGCCCCACGGTGCGCCGACCCCGCTGGCTCGGAGGCGGGTCCTCGGGGCGTGCAGATCAGGCTGAGCGAGGCTGGCTTGCCCAACCTCACCCGTGGTCGCCTCAGCCCCCACGAGATCAGTCCTCACAGCTGGGCACCCAAGGCCCCCTTAGACTAGCATTTGGTCTGGAGGTTTCACTGGCGTCGGGCCTTTATTCAAGATTGTGTTCTCCATAAAGCCCTTTACCCGTGTTTTTGCAGCAAGCAAGAGAAATGGTGTTAGAGATCATCCGAGAAAAAGACCAAGCTGACTTCCGAGGCATCCGTGGGGACTTCAGCTCCCGGATGGGCAGCGGCAGCATGGAGGTACGCAGCGGTGACTCAGCCGGGCCGGCCGGGCTGGGCCTCGCGCCTGGGGCGCGCTCCCTGAACTCTTCAGCGCAAGCAGTGCACTCGCCCCGTCTCTTCTGCCACCCCTGCAAGTGCTCCCACGTCTGGGGGCCCGGGGATGGCGGCCGGCTGGGGGGGAGCCGGCTCCGTGCACCTCAGCGTGTTGGGGGTTCTGCTCCAGCGCTGCCCCCACTGGCCAGGCGAACTCTGGGTTCTCTGGGCTGGCTGTGCAGCAGTTGCGTCAGCTGGAAGCCTGTTTGCTGAGGGGGAATCGAAACGTGTAGAAGGAGCTGCTGTGACCTGGGCGGGCCTGCGGGACGCCGGAGCCAGGTTGCACGTGCATGCGTGCAGGAAGTGCAGCCTGGCGGCCCCGGGCGGGCACGGAGCTCCTGGTGCAGCGGCCGGCGGGCGTGGGAGCCGGAGCAGGGACAGGTGCTGTCCGCACGCTGTGAACCTGCCCGCTGCCCCCCACCGCCGGTGGGGCGAGGATGCGTGTTTCATCACAGGGATAAGTAGGAGGGAGGAGACGTTTCAGATGCCTACGTGTGGCATAGGTTTGGTTTTTACATAGAATTGGGAAGACAAATTTGCCATTTTTAAATATCTTTACCAGCAAAGTCTGTTCTTTACCTTTTTTTTATGACTTTTCATGAAATCTCGGGCTTACTGGACTAGATATACTTAGTGACAAGACTGTAGTTATCAACTATGGTGTTGTTCCAAAGAGGAAAAGCATTTCAGGGACACACTGCAGAATCGAATGCTCAGGATGTGTGTGTGAAAGTGTGTGTGTGTGTGTGTGTGTGTGAGAGAGAGAGAGAGAGTGTGTGTGTGTGCGTGTGTGTGTGTGAGAGAGAGAGAGAGAGTGTGTGTGTGTGTGTGAGAGAGAGAGAGAGTGTGTGTGTGTGTGTGAGAGAGAGAGTGTGTGTGTGCGCGTGTGTGTGTGTGAGAGAGTGTGTGTGTGTGTGTGCGTGTGTGTTCTTTAAGGAAAGAGATTTGCAGGAAGCTCTGATGAGGTTTTGTGTCTCTGTTTAGGTGTCTGTACCCCGATTTGCTGTGGGGATCGTAATAGGAAGAAACGGGGAAATGATCAAAAAGATCCAGAACGATGCTGGCGTGAGGATCCAGTTCAAGCCCGGTGGGTCTTGGCGCCTCCGTAGTGTGAGGAAGTGCCGACGCGCCCCGGAAAGCGAGGCCTCCTCTGGGCCCCTGAGCCCCTCTGGCACTGCCAGGCCTGTCACCCAGGGCCCTCAGGTGCCAGCACACGTTAGCCCGGAGACTCAGCCCTCATTCTTCACCGAGACCAGTAAACCAGGAGGGCTCAGCATGTCCAGCTGTTAGTGTCATCAAGTTTTAAAAAAAATTATTATTGTTTCGCAAAGTTAAAGACAATCTACAGCCGTGTAAAAGGACACACACATCAGAGTGAGACCTGGTTCCTTTAAGTTTTCTGGAAATCCCTTCATAAGCAAAACCTTGGGTTCTCCCCTCCACGCAAACTTACCTGACAATGGGGAGACCTTGCCTCGGGCTCGTTCTGGAAAGTAGGCTGTGATGCGACTGGCCTTCCGGATGCTGTGGCCCAGAGGCCTGGCACCTGCTGCCGTGGAGGCCAGGCAGTTCCGAGTCTGGCAGTGTCGTGAGCCCTGGACACTGGGGGATTTGTCTCCTTCCGAGTCCAGGCCTCCCCTAAGCCTTGTCTCCCTCGGCTTCCCAGACGATGGCATCAGTCCCGAGAGAGCCGCGCAGGTCATGGGGCCCCCGGATCGGTGCCAGCACGCGGCGCACATCATCAACGAGCTCATCCTCACAGCCCAGGTGGGTCGGCTCTCACTGCCCGAGCAGGAAGCGCTGCGGGGCCTCCCCCAAGCCCGGCCCTGCCCTCGGCATGTCCACGTGTGCTGCCTTGACCACCCAGAGCCTAGATTCTTTGCATAGTGAGTCCTGGCTGTTGAAACTCGTGGGCAGATACAGGGTAGCCCACCAAGTACTGTTTGTGCAGCTGGTGCGTAAACCTGACCCCAGTTCAGAGAGCACCTCGGGGCCCCCCAGGTCGCCTCCTGGGGATGTGCGAGAGCTGCGTGGCGCTGCTGGCGCGCTCACCTGCCGCTCTGGGCGTTGTCCTGGGAGCCAGTGTGGTCTGGGGGCCTCCTGTGTGTGCTGCTGAGGGGAAGTTCGAGTACAGCCGGAAGTGAAGAAAGCGCAAGAAATAGGAATTGGTGGTCCCAGCCCTGCCGCCAGCCGTGCAGCAAGGGGAGCCTCGCGCACACCAAGGGTGCTTGCAAGGTGCGGCTCCTCAGGGGGCCCCCAGTCATCTCAGGGTGTCCATGTGCTGAAGCTGCCAACACAGAATGCCCCGGTGAGGGGCTTCCCAGGCAGCTAGGGTCAGACAGCTCGGGAAATGAGCCGAAGGACTGCAGCTTCCTTTGTGAGGTCAGAGACCCTCGTCTCAGAGCGGCTGGCACGCCTGAAAGTGGGCTGCGTGCGGGGGTGTTTTAGCTGAGATCCCTAGAATGCCATCGTCGGTCTGCCCTTGCCGCCTAAAGCAGTCTCGGCTGTCTGCTCCCCCTCTCCCTCCCGCGGTGGCACGCCCAGCCCCTACCCCACACCGCAGGGCTTCCCACGCGCAGCTCCGCGGAGGCCGTGGCACGCGCTCCCCACCAAAGGAAGGGGCCTTCTCTGCCAGGAGTGCCGTGCCGGGGTCGCCGCGGGGAAGTCGGGGTTCTCCAGCGCAGGCTGTGCCGAGCCCCGGGGGACTCCCTCCTGGCATGAGAACAGGTGCCAGTTCCTTGACGTCCCCTTGCCCTGTGACTGGCTGGATCTGCGCTGCCCAGCGGCCGCTGAGCTGTTCTTGCAGGCCGGTCCGGGACAGTCAGACGTCCCCAGGCCCACTTGTTTTGCCTTCGGGTGCCCACAGCTCTTCAGCCCCTAGAATCTGGCGTGTGGTGGACTGACCCGGTGTGTGTGAGCCACGGGGAGGCCCTCCGTCGGGAGGCCAGCCGGCCGGGCGCGAGGGGCTCCCCAGGCCGCTTATGCCTGCTGTGCTGTTCACATAGCCGCACGCGCCCCCCCGGATACTCCGTGATTTGTGTTCATTCAGCTTCTGGAGCTCTGCGGCTCGACCGTGGCAGCTGCGTGGCTCTAGAGCGCGGCATTGGTTACATCCTGTCACTTAACCTCCCGGAGAGGAAAGTGCTGGTGGCGCGGCGGAACCCACCACTGGAGCTTTTGCTTCCTTACAGGAGAGAGATGGCTTCGGCGGCCTCGCGGTAGCCAGAGGAAGAGGCCGTGGCCGTGGCGACTGGAGCGTGGGGGCCCCAGGCGGCGTGCAGGAGATCACGTACTCGGTGCCAGCGGACAAGTGTGGCCTGGTCATCGGCAAAGGTGAGCGGCGGCTGCGTGGCGCCACGCCGTCCCGCTGGAAGCGGACCGCAGGGCGGCTGGGGGGACGAGGGGCCGGTCTCTGGTGCCCACGGCCTTCTGCAGGCCCCGCTCTCGTGGGTCCCCTCGCGGGGGGAGCAAGGGGTTTCGTGAGGGCTGGTGCCACAAGGAAGGTTGTAGCTGTGGAAGCGGCTGGGTTGTTGTAAGAGCACCCGCGGGCAGCCGCGTTTGTCATTCGCTGACCGACTGGTAATGAACTCGCCTCCAGGGAGCGGACGGGGCCACTGAGGATGGCCCCCACAGCCATCGCTTTCTGCCGGCCCGGCCCTTTCCCTCCCTGCACCTGGGGGTTTGTTTGGTCTTTGTCGGCGCGTCCTGCGAAACGGTTTCCATCCTTTCAGCACCTTCGCCCTGAGTACGGCAGGCGCCGCAGGGACGCCCTTCTGGGGCTGCCGCCTCCCGCCAGCCTTCTGGGACGCGGGGGGCGGGGGGTGCAGGAGACCGCTGGGCTGCATGCGCCGGCCTTCCCCCGCAGCGGCCGGCCGGCCATGGGTGGTGAGCACGGCCTAGCCGCGTGGAACTTTGCTGGATTTTCATGATAAATGATGGGGGTGGGGGGGTGGAAACAGCCTTTTCTTGAATCTCCAGTTTCTCTGAGCAGACAGCTCCCTGTTGGGATGTCCTGCCCCGAGGACCCGAACCTGGAACATCTGTGCCTGCTCAGGGCTGAGCTGGGCGGATCTTCCGGCCCCGCCCTCGCCTCCCAGGCCCTGCACGACCCCCTACACCCCTCACCTGTGTTCAGGGCTCTGTCCCAACCTTCATCCCTGCTTGCCCCTTGGTCAGCAGCCAGAACCCTGGGCTGCTTCTGGCCCCTGCTCGCCCCTCGGTGGCCTACCCGAGGCCCGCCCACTTCGTGCCTGTCCAGCTTCTGTGCCCTCAGAGCCATCCTGTCCGAGGTCACCCTGCGAATGTGTTCCCTGGGCCCTGACAGCATGTGGTCATCTGTCCTGTCACGGGCCTGCAGTCAGCGACACCACATGGCCAGTCTTGTATACTCGGAGCCGAGCTTATTCTGTAGGGGTCTTTTGCAACCCCATGAGGGCTGGGTGTGAGGTTCTCCTTGGGAAAGGCCGCGGGTGAGGGTGGAGAGGGAGCCACACGCAGGCCAGTAGGCCAGGTGCCCCCCCCTCACCCCCTCGCGGCCCCCCCCCCCAGCTCCAGCCTTTGGGCAGACAGAGGCCCCCAGGATTTCCATGGTGAATGCACGGTGGTGACAGACACTGTGGCCAGCCCTGCTCTTGTCAGCCAGGCTTTTTAGCAGGTTTGATTAATTGCTTTACGATTTCACGTCCAGACGGGGGGCCGCTGGTGGTCGCTTCTGCCCCCCATCAGGTGGCAGAAGGGGGCAGGCTGCTGAATGAGTGTGTAGACACCCACCATGTGCCAGGCCGGTGACCTCATTTTGAAGGAAGATGAACTTAAATTAACTCCTTCCGGCCCCATGCCATTTGGTGGCGCCTCGGGGTTTTATTCGCCTGCCGCAAGGGCTCAGGGAAGGGGGTGTGGGCGCAGGGTCTCCATCTCAGACACGCTGGCCCTTTTGTGCTCTTGCCTGCAAAGCCAAGGCCTGCTGCCGGGTGCGGGGAGAGGTCTCGGCTGAAACGCTGTTGCCGAGGAGGAAGGCGGCGCGTTCGTCTCCCGCCGTAAAGGCGCAGCCCGGCCCTGGCGTCGCGGGCAGCCGTTGCAGGCCTGTGCCGCCTCGAGCAGAGGGAAGGTGCCGGAGCAGTTTGCACCCCAAGCAGACCAGCTCCCTGCTGGGCCGCCTCGAACACGGGAGGTGCTGCCCTGTCCCGACGGCCGGCCTCCGGGGCCCCAGCGCAGGGCTGACCCGCTGCCTGCCGGAGGGACCCTGGAGCCAGACCCCATCCTGGCCTCGACGTCCTGACAAGCTGGGCCCTGGGCTTGCTGCTCCCGGTGCCCCTGACGGCCAAGACCGGCAGCCCCGAGGGCCCGCGGGCCATGGGTGGACCAGCCGGAGGTGTCCCTTGAGGCGGCCAGTGTCAGTCACTCTGGGTACTGGTGACTGCACCAGGAGGGTACCCAGGGACTGAGCGTTTGGGACTGCCCGCTACCCGCTTCGGATTTTACAGATTGTCTTGATTTGGTTTGCGGAGCTGTGCTGAGTGTCCCGGTGTTTTAGCGCTCCCTCCCCTCACAGGGGCTGCAAAGCTGATCTACAAGTTCTTCTGTGAAATTTCAAAAGAAGAATCAAACCATTGTTACGCAGGAGGAGCTTTTGTTACGCAAATTTCATTAAGAGACTGGGACTCTCACAGGTTTTTCAAAGAGTCTAACTAAATTTTCATTAGCCTCCCTCAGCCCAGGCCCCTGTGACCCGCCTCCAGCTGCCTCTATCAGACCTGACCCCTGGCAGGAGGCAGGGGCTGGGCAGGACAGGACAGGACAGGACTGGGTGCTCAAGGCCCGAGGGCGCTCTGGCCCTTCAGGGGCTGGAGGCGGGGCCATGGCCTTCCCCGAGGCTGAGACCCACTGTGCCCCCCACTTGTTCTTGGACTGAGGGGGGGCCAGTGCCTTTCGGGGGAGGGGTTCCAGTGAGTTTCAAGGGGTTCAGGGTTTCCTGGGTGAGGGAGCCCCGGATTCGGGTGGAGCCATTTAAAGCCTACAGAAGCGTCACCTCTTAGGGGAGAAAAAATGTTTGCGGCTGCGTTTAGCAATCCCCGCACGAGGCAAGCAGCTCTCCATTATCGTGTGCGCCCCGAAACTAATGCTCTTCCTTGTCCGTTGTCCCTGTTTTTGAAAGCGGATTTCTGTGACCCTCGACAGAAGGCTTGTTCCTCGGCATGCATGCCAGCGTGCGGGCCCCTTCCTGCCCTTCCTGGCCCGAGGCCTGCGCTCACCCCTGCCCTGTGTCCTGCCTGCAGGCGGTGAGAACATCAAGAGCATAAACCAGCAGTCGGGAGCACACGTGGAGCTCCAGCGGAGCCCGCCTCCCAACACGGACCCCAACCTGCGGATATTCACCATCCGAGGGATCCCGCAGCAGATCGAGGTGGCCAGACACCTCATAGATGAGAAAGTTGGCGTACGTACAGGCCCTCTCCCCGCCCGCTTCCTGAGGCGGGGCTTTCTGTTGGATGTTCAAGGTACCTGTTTCCCCGGCACCTTGGACTCCTCCGCCTCTCAGCCCTCACATCCCACCAGGGGCCCTCCACATGGCCAAGGGGGAGGGCTGGGCCAGGGCAGACCAGGGCCAGGCCCAGGAGTGATGGAGGGAGCCTCTGGCAGGGCCCGGGGCCTCCGTAGCGCAGGCCTAGAGCCGCGGGCTGACTCCGCCGGCGCCAGCCCACAGGCCGTGGCGCTCATTGACTCTGGCTTTAGTTGCAGGCACCTCAAAGCAGATAAAGAAAGGGAGTGTTGGAGGACAGATTGGCCACTGCTCACCTCCAAGGGGACGTAGCATGGCAGAGAGGCGTGGGCCAGCCTAAATTGACGGGAGAGGCAAGCAGGTTGGTCCCGACCCCCAGGGCACCATGCCAGGGCCGCGGCGGCGGCGCCAGCCGGACTGCCAGGTCGCGGTCTCGTGGGCGGAAGCTGCTCCTGCACGTCCAGCCCCCTGCGGGAAGGCAGGCTAGCGTGAGCGCCGTGCGTCTGCCCGCACCCGACCGTCCCTGTGGTTGGCCTCGGGGCGGCAGAGGGCGGCCGAGACCGCGACCGCGGGTGACGGTCCTCCGTGCCCACGCAGGGTGCCAGCCTCGCAGCGCCCGGAGCCTTCGGACAGAGCCCCTTCGGCCAGCCGCCGGCCGCGCCCCACCAGAAGTGAGTCTTCCCCGTCCGGCCTCTCCTCCCAGAGCGCCCGGCTCTGCCAGCCGAGCCTGCGGGCGCGGGCAGCTCTGCGTGCGGCTCCCCGCG